ATTATTATTATCTTTTTTCTTCCATGACCCAGAGGACCAAAGCTAATGGTTTCATTTATACACAGCGTTCGCTTCTCTGCTTCCTATCTATTGTTCAGGTTCCTAGGATAACCAGTTTATTTCCAAGGATGACTTTCAGACCACTTTTCTCAACTATGCAAACAGCTTCTCTGCTCAGCTCTCATCCCGTTGAAGCAGCCATGTGTGGGGTGGCAGGGGCTATGTACTATCTGTGTGAGAGAGCTTTTGCCAGCAGGTGGAAACCCGCAAAGGTTTGCCTCTTTTTGCTGGCTTTGGAAATCACCTTCACCAGCACGTTCCCTCCTAGGGGAGCACTTCCTAAGCTGTGGCAAGAATTAAAGCTTAGGCCGGGATATTGCACCTGATTGACATTGATTTCAATGTGTGTAGGATATTTGTGTGTCTTCAATCACCTCACGGGAAAAAGAAATCAGTTCTGAAAGGACAGCAAACTAAAAATGCAACATCACAAGATTATCAATGGGACAGACCTTAAATGTTACAGCACGTGAAGATCCTGCAGCAAAAATCCAGCAAAACTATTATAATCCTTGGACTACGTTGAAAAGAATAAGGTTTTGTGTTTCTAACAAGATACACTATGTAGAATGGAAGGGCATTTGCAATCTGTTTTACTTGAAAACCTACATATGGTTTTGGTCCTCAGCACACTTAAGTATCAGAACCTGCAGAATAACTAATAGCTATGTACCAGGGAAGGCAAATCCACTGAAAAGAAAAACTGATTCATTTATCCTACCCCTATGTAGAATTGAACATGAATAATTTAATTTTTTCCTTCTTTTTCTTGTCCCAACCAATAAGTGAAAGTGTGAAACCTGTTGCAGGAGAGTTTATAGTTCAGATATCCAGCTGACTTCTTAGAAACTTTTAGTCTGCAAAAGCAACGAGAGTTTAGAGTGCTTAACTAATTGTGAATTGCAGAATTTAGAGACCAATCCGGCACTTGTTCGTATTGCAGTTTACTAGGGCAGCTCATTTGAATGCCTACTGACATCCTTTAACGAGAAGTTTTACAAGAAATATATTAGTGTAAAAATGTGTTAGTCGTAGGACCTATTAGGTGTTAGTGTGAAAATGTGTTAGTCGTAGGACCTATTAGGTGTGTGTTTGCTGAGAATGACCTACAAAGCACTTTATTTCACATTATGGATATGTAATTCTTACTACCTGCTTTTCCTGAGTTAAAAAAATTACACATATACACCTTAAGCTATTACGGTGTATATAATAAGATTGCACAGTCAAAGTGTTAAGCCAATTCTCATGAGGATCATGGAAACTTCAAGTTCAAAATAGTATTTTTAAGTAAGATTTTTTTTTTCCCTTTAAAAATAAAAATACTGTCTTTAATATTAAAATGAGTATTGAGTACAGTTCCAGAAAATCAAGACCATTCAAACCACATTTTGTCTTTAGTATGTTCTGTTGTATGCAAGTGTTGCAGAGAGCTGAAGTTCTCTCACTTGGAGCTGCCTAACTTGCGTGCAGGTTATTGTTGGAAGTTTGAGCAATAACTCCTAAGCATCATTGTTTAATGAAGTTTAGTCAGTGCTTAACGTAATTTTAATTACTTTCAATGCCTTAAAGCTAGTGTTGAAACAAAAGATTTTCTCGTGTACTTATTTCTATTCCAAAAAGGAAAAAAAAAAATCAAGCAGTTTTCTGAAATCAGCATAATATTTATCTTTCATTTAATGTTGCATTAACATTTTGTTGTCCTTGTGTAACCTCTGGAATTAAAACATTAGCATTTAAACATGCGAACATTTTCTATGTTTCCCCTGTTGCCTGCTAGCTATTTCTGTTTGCTTTAGCGGTAATCATTTTCGATTGGTACAACAACAGGCCCACACTATTCCCCTAGTACCTGCTCTACACCTATAGCAGATCCGCAGACTTTCTTCAAAGGAGCAATATTCCCTGACGTCATCGATATGTAAATTAAAGGAATGGGCATTCATGAGGGGGAAGGAAGAGCTTCAAGTAAGAAATGTATTTCTAAGGGACTTAAAGCTCTGATTGATTACACGCGTTCAGTCAGCCTCATTCACCTGGGACGGTTTCTCTCAGTCTCCCACGATGCAGAATCGAGGGTTTCGCTGGCGGTGTGTGCATCACGCTTTCCCACCCACTTCCTCTCCCGTCTCGCCCCAGCCTTCAGCCGCGCCTTCTCCATAGCGAGGCAGTTGCTGTGGGAAGAACCCAGAATGAAACGCTGGGAGCTGCTGGTTAGCTGTAAGGTTGCTCATAAGGAACAGAAGTTACTTTGTTTCGGCTGTGCAGCTTTACACCTCAGAGCCAATTGCAGTTGCTTTTGATGTAGTTTGTTCTCTCCAGAAAACTAGTGATTCTATACCCCAAAGGTTTAGCTGGCAAATCTAACAAAGTTAACTCAATTCTAGTCTTTTGTGGGGTACCTTAAACAGAGTGAAGTTTCTTTGTGTTCCCTTTCTAGATAGGTAAGACAACAGTTTTTAAAAATGTGGTGGTTCCTAAATGCTAATGTTTGCCAGGTCTGCAACGTAGAAAGATTTTCTTTTTAATCTAATGGAAAGACAGAACGGACCTCTGAGTACATGGAAATGCAGCATTTCACTACTAATCCAATTCATCACTTCAATTTGTAAACGAGATCTCCAAACTGTCAAGCCACGTCTTTGTATTTGCAGGAGAAATTTCCTTTGTTTATTCAGAGAGCATTACATGTCATTGTCATTACCGCACAGTAGCCCCTCTGGGCTGACTGAAAAGGTTTGCTAAGCATAAAGCGATGGGAGTTCCCACAGAGGTTTCTGTCTTTCTGTTGGAAATGTATAATCAACTACAGGGCTGGATTACAAATTGGGTTGGTGTTTTTTATTCTCTGGTGCCAAATTCAGAAGTTGTCTACTCAATATTCTCCTAAATGCTGTAATACAGAGCAGATGCAGAATTTTGTAAGTGGGAAATTGTGTTGTTAGTCTCTATTTGAGTCTCTGCCATTAATAATGCAACACTGGGTAGCCAGTTCTCCTGCTTTATATTTGAAGATTATTCTATAAAGCTTAAATTGCTGGTGTTACTTTTCTGGGGCAGAAAGGAGAACTTTTCTGCCTGAACTGCCCTAACTTTTTGTAGTCTTGGTGGAATTCTGATGTGAGCACCAAGATGTGGTACCACTGAATAAAAATTTCTGCTAGAATGGGCTACTAACAACTTTCCTTGGCCACTCTGGGCACCACAAAGTCTCAGAGAAATTGCGTGTCTTCAAACAATATACTTAATAGTAATACCATCTGCCAAATTACCTTTTCCTTTTCAAATTATAAACCTGAACGTTGTTTGGTTTGAAACAAATCTTCGTAATAAAAGACAAATGGAGAGAAGGGTCAAGTGGTTTGAGGAGGAAAGATGAGGAAAACTGTCATTGTTGTGAAGGCTGAACATCAGACCATTTAGATCACGCTTACGCAGTCTCTGATGGTTTGAAACTCATGTGATGCCCATGAATGAGCCAGTGTTATTCCAATTTGAAGGGAGAAACCCTCTGTTTCTGGAGTTACTAACCAGGTGGCTGGTTGTCTAGGTTGAAATCTGGAAGAAGCCATTTGGCTTTGAAATAATACGGGGTTTTTGGCTTCCAGGAGGAGTTCTGTTACCCAGTGGAATGTCTGGCTCTGACGGTGGAGGAGGTCATGCACATCCGTCAGGTGCTGGTGAAGGCGGAGCTGGAAAAGTACCAGCAATATAAAGATGTCTACACTGCTCTCAAGAAAGGAAAGGTAGGGCTGGGTCTGTGGAGGCTCCGAAGCTTATTGAGGGAGGCTGGTCGCACAAGCCTCCCATTTACTCATTTGTTTCTTACCCTGTATTGGAGAAAAAGAAGGAATATCCTCGAAACTCCCCCTAAATGTATAACATATGGGTCAGCTTCCTTGAATTATGTGCAGAAACATCAAAACTTTTCATGGAAATACCTTATTTGTTTAAATTTTCTATAAAAATGCAGTAGCGTTTGCAATTATCAGAGCATATCTGTATGTTTTAAACTTCATTGATTAAAGTGATTTCTGTCCCCATGCCTTCTGCAGTATTGCTTAGCATTTTTATTCCAGAAAATAGCATTACAGCTAGCAGTAGGAAATTACAACAGGTTTTTCATATGAATCCTCACTATCAAGCAGAGAGGGAATGAAAGCCTTCAGAGAAGTCAGACAACACGTGACCCCAGAAGGAGGTTTAATATTAGAGAACCCATTAACTAAAGCATTTTTTTCTGTAAACTGCAGATTGGGAATTGGTATTTACCAGTAGAAGCAGTGTCCTTTTCTCCCACTTTTGACTTGTGCTTCTTGAACTCCTCCAGCAAGTATATTTTGACTTCACAGTGTATTTTACCTACAGGCTTACCCGTGTCTAGTATGCAGATTTAATTTAAAGATTTCATACATTTAAGGCAGAGGGACAAGAATCTTAAAGTGTCATTCATTAGATTCAGCTGTTGCATATCATCATGATGTATAAAGCTTAGTAATGAGCTTTTATCAAATCTCAAAGTAAGTTGATGCTTTAATTAATTTAACCCATTGTTGAATTTGTTCACTTTTATTTCTGGCCAAATTTATCTAGCATCACCTGAATCTTTGGATCTCACTATGTCATCTTTTGTTTGACTGCAAAACTTTTGATTGTTCAATGCCTTTCCTTCCTAGAAATGTTCTTAAGCTGTGATCCCTACCTCCTTTGAATAAACTGAATAGATGGGATTTATTATCCCACTATAAAGCAGGTTTTCCTCAAGTAAGTGTTATAATAGCTCTTTCCTGCACCTCCTCTAGTTTTCAAGAATGTAGGATTGGAAGAAAATTGTCAAATGTTATCACAGGCAAAAATTTTGTGTCCCAGAACCTGACCCAGATGGTTAGGAACAATTCCCAGCCTAAATGTATTCATGGCTGAATTTATGCCCATTTGTTCTTGTGTTTTTCAGTTGTAACAGTTACCCTTCCTTACAGTTACTTACTTCCTTACTTTCCCATTGCTTTTTTGTGTAGTAATGATATAAACGTCAGTGAGGGAGGAGTAAAAATAAGTTAATAATTAACTGGCAAGCATTTAAGGAGTATTTCTAAATATTCTTTTCAATATCATCTTAGAAGTATGGATCCCAGAACTGGATGTAGTACTGCAACTCTGATCTCACTGATAGCAACTGATAGATGAAGTCATTATTGTGCTGGTCTTTGCCTAACGTTGTGGACTCCTCTATTCGTCTTTTAGCTCTGCTTTTGCTGTCGGACAAGAAGGTTTTCTTTCTTTACCTGGTCTTACACTTGTCAGTTCTGTAAGAGGTAAATATTTAATATCTGTTAATAAATGAGTACCATTTCAGAGGGAAAAATACTGATTTATATGTTAGAAACCCCTATATGTTTCCACTGCATACTGTTGATTTTTGCTTCTGTAACAGTCGAGGTTAAAAAAAAAAAAGCAAAACCAGATCCTTCCTAAGTGACAGAATTGCTTCCTCGGACTGAAACTCTAGGCTAAAAGTGAGAGAAACACCCATTTGTTCTTTTATGCTCGTGGGAGAGTGAGGTGGAATTTATTCAGACTCCTCAATCAACAGTTTCATAATCTCTATTGTTGCGGAAAACATTTCAAGGCAATTTACCTTTTGGGTTATTTTTGGAGTATTGGTGGGTAGAGAAGGGAAAAGGAATAATTTGCAGGCAAAATGAAAAATTTTAAGTTGAACAGTGAGACAATAAGTCTGGAGATGTATGGAATCACTAATTTATTGTGTCACCAAACGAGGTTTCTTTAGAGGAAAAACAGCTGTTTCTTTTTTTTTTTCCCTATTTTTTGATTTAGCTGTAGTTCTTGTTTAGCATTTCTCCTTGCTTTTGGCTTCATGTTCTGATTGAAGTTATTACATTGAAGAAGATTTAAAAATAAAAATGTTTGTTTAAGGGGAGGATGGGGGAGGATTCTAACTCCTGAAAACATTTATCCCTTATTCTTGATTGAAATGTAATTTTGCCCGATGAAATGATTCATGCTCTTGCTTTCTTACACAGGCCTGTATGCTCACAGTGTTGCAAAAAAGTAAGTAAATAAATTTACGGTTAGACCCTTTCTAAAAAGCTATAATCTTTGTAATGAGACTGCATGTTCCTTCTGCTGTTCTCACAACAGATGCGGTTGCCATCAAAGCCATATTCTACTCTCCCCATCTTCTCACTGGGACCTTCAACCTTGCAAAGAGGAGAAAGTTTTATGAGGCCAGAGAAACCCTCTACCAGTCACCACCGATCGCTGCGGAGCATGTCCAGGTGAGAGACAACCTTAGCTCACGTGTGTCTATTGGAAATGCTTCCTAAATGTTTCCTCTTGAGTTATCAGTCATTAATTACTGCCTACCTGTTTTGTAGATGTCGATGTTTCTAATGCCTGTAGTAACTTTTCTGAAGCCTGAAACCCCATGTCTCTTCCACTCATTGCTTTGATTTACAAAAATAGCAATACTAACAGCGTGTCTTAAACCTTTTTCACATTACAGGTGAAAAATAATATGAATCTGGGACAACTGTATTTCCGTAGCACCTCTGCAAAAATATCCTTAGCATGTCTTTTTCTGGTGTGAATTAGACTCTCCAGAAATAAATCTCGCAGGCTTGAATCACTCACTGAATGGGAATTCAATGATGTCTTGCGCAGATTTATCTCTTTTTTCCCCTAATTTTTCTAATTCTAATTTTCACCATTTTTTTTCACTTTGACATTATGAAGTTATCCACTGGTTTTATACCTTATACACAGATGGTTGTCAAAGCTGATCCGAGAAATTAAATATAAAAGAAATGCTCCTTTTTGAGGGGATCTACAGTATATACCCTCTGCATAAATCATTAGCGCTATGATGCTGTGTCAAATTAGCCAAACACATCATCTATTTATAATTATTAGTAAGGTTGTTACACATGTTACACATGCCCTCAGTTAGTGACCCTGCAATCTTGCTGAACGAGGCAGAAGCTGTCCTCTCTAGTGTTTGGTCTCCTGGTATCATTTTTGGGACAGGAGAAAGGAAGATTTGAATCAAGGCAGTTCTGATGTGCTGTTTTCTGCAGGTGTCCCTTGGGGCCCACTGCCATGCTGCTAAATAACATGACAGGTCCTGCTCTTGTGCCTTTCAGGTTGACCTCAAGGTCCAAATCTGTGGATAAGTCACATGAAGAGTTTCCCAAAGAATTAATGGAGGACTGGAGCACGATGGAGGTATGCGTGGACTGCAAGAAGTTTATTTCAGAAATCATCAATTCAAGCCGGCGCAGCCTATCTCTGGCCAACAAGCGAGCCAGGTTAAAAAGGAAAACGCAGTCCTTCTACATGTCGTCGCCGGGAACCTCTGAATACTGCCCCTCTGAAAGGACTATCAATGAGATCTGAGCCTTGTGCCTTTTTCTTTGCTTTTGTCTTCATGAGGTCATCATCCATGAGCAAGGTCACTGAAACTGGATTATCATTCCGTTGCTTCGTTTCACTTGACTGGCTTGAATTTGCATTAGATCACAGGATTTCCTACTCCAGTGGTTCCCAGAGACACAGAACGCTAGGTTTAGATCTGTGCAGAATGATACGCAACGGGTCAGCTGCTCGCACTGGAAGAAAATCAATAGTTTGAAATTGTTGCCTCTTTTGTATGCGTGCGTTGAAACTGGAAAGCCTTTTCTTGCTTTCAATCTTTTTTTTAACCATGCTTTGAATCATTTTTCAGGAGATGAGCTGAAAACATATGTTTAATGGAGAACCAAACCTAACAAAGTGTCAGTGTTAGCACAGTAGCAAACAATAAGTCATATTGGCATTACCACCCTAGTAATGCTCACGTCCTAGTTGAAACAGCAAAGGGTCGTACCACACACCAGATACCGAGTGTGAGCGACTGTGGTCAAAACCATCTTTCTTTTAACTGTTTTGGTTGCTCCGAGATCAGGATTCAGCACGGGACTTGACAATGTCTGTGTCCTTCGGCAAAATACGCGACGAAGCTGTTCGCCCCTGTGGATGGCTGTTCCCCTGAGCTGCTGTACTTTTTAAGCCTTAGTGTACCTCTAAGTGTCTCCTGAGCAGGTTTTAGTAGTTTACTTTCTATCTTGAATGTATGATGATGACTACTAGTAGCAGTGAATTTTAGTAGTAGACAGAGTTGTTCAGTTTATGGAGAGGAGAGAGAGAAATAAGGGAGGCTTCTAATTTCAACTGAATACCTGTAAAGTTGTTGTCATGGTTACTCAGAGAAAACGGTGGGTAAGGTGTACATTTGTATTATAATGGAGCACACAAATACTGCTATAGTTATGTCTGACAGCATATCGACCGATAACCCCATTTTTTCTGGGGTTTATAACTTGGCTGTAAAAATTCGTGTTCTGCTGAAATTTGGGACAGTGCTGTCTCAGATTGGGAGCAATCTGTCTCTTTTTTTCTTTTACCTTTTTTCATTCTTTTTTCCCTTTTTAATTCACTCACGAAAGAGTGCTAGACTGGTTGTTTAGAAGTTCCAACGATGTTACAAGGTTAACTGACATCTCATGCTTTTTTGCACTTTTTTTTATATTCAAAATACTTTTTTTAAATTCAAGTATAGAGTTTAGTCAATAATTTGGGGCCAGATCATTTTGGTATTTAAAAACAAGCTAACATAGCCAAGTTATTAATACTTGAAAATCAACTACTGTAACTTTTTCATAAATTTTTTAATACCCTGAGGCATATTTAATATCTATATAGCAGTGTATTATAGAATGACATAGCAGAAAAGTTTCAGATCTATTTATTAACATTTCTATACTTCAGATTAATGAGAGATACCTCAGAACTGCTCCAAAGTAGCGGGGACTGGATTTCTGTAACATGATTTTAAAGATGTATTAATCAAAACAGATTGTCCCGTCCAAATCTCGTGCATTGCAAAGCCCAAGCGAAGGCGGACTGCCCCGCCAGCCCTGGTGAGGCACGGTGCGGAGGCCGTGGGGCACCGGGGCTGGTTGGCTCCCATGGGGTAGCTGGGCGCCAGTCCCACTGCGGGCTGCCTCCTGCTGCCCAGGGGAACAAGGCTTCCCCTTCGAAGTCTATTTGCGTGTCACATTGCAGCCTTCGGAGCAGCCACTCGTATCGTATCTTTTAAGTTGATTTGAAAAGCACATGCAAAAGTCTCCTTAAACCTTCCCCGGGACTCATCCATCCTTATTTTTCTTTAAACGCCCCCTTGGAAAATGAGGATTTTTGCATATGCAGGGTTCACTGAAATAATGTTTTTAATTTTTTCTGAACCAATGCGAACAGGAAAAGCAGGGCTCAAGGCTAACTCTCCCTCGTAGCTGTCCCATGTAAGGTCAGGTGTCATGGCCCTCTCCTCGAGGTACTTCTGGAAAAGTGTCTTGCGTGTTAAAGCACCTGGAGTACTGGCACGACATAAGGATGTAGGATTGCAGGAGGTGAGCAGCACAGACAGGCTGATTTGAAAGGCCTGCTGTTGCTGGAAGGGTCGCCTGATCTCAGTCACATCAGCACTTTTTCTTGTTTCTGTGCCAAAACCCGGCCATGTGTTTGCTGCACAGTGCATCAGGAAAACTAGACAGAAAGAAATGCTTGAAATCTCACTTTGCATCTCCCCTGTTGTTGTTCTTACCATTTTCTCTGGGAAATGCCCCAGCCACATGTTACAGTCGCTCAATCCTCTGCTCACAGTCCTCTTCCCTGGCATCCTCAAGCCACTGAGGTGCAGGGTATCCAGCATGTTTATTCTCCCCTTTGAGAGGAATTTAGGAGGTTGCAGAGCAGGCAGGATCAAGGACTAAGTAAATCCTGAGTGTGCGAAGGGAAATGAGTCCCTCACGGCACGCCTGTGTCCCCCTCCACCTTGGCAGTGTCCGGGGCAGCCCTGGGGAAGCAGCGGAGCCTCACGATCCAGACTTTGCCTTCCCGGGATGCCCAGCAGCCCTTGGCTTGGGCCGGGCTCTGTTGTGCTGAGCAGGGCGCAAACGCCAAACAACGCGGTCGTTGTCCAAACTGCTCCATGTTGCTCACGCAGAGCTGCCATGGGGCAGGGCCTGGATAACCTCCCCTTTTTCCCAGAAAAAACCCTCCGGGCTGCTGACACATGCTGTGACAGGCTCAGAAAACGTGGTGCGGAAGGCTGCCTCTCCCATCCCTTCCTCTCTGCCAGAGTTGCTCTGCATTATCCTGGCATTTCGTTCCGCAAAAGAAAAAGCAGCGGGTTGGTTTGTCACGCGAAACCTGAAGGAGCTCAGCTCGCTGTTGCCTGGCGCTCTGCGCAGTGGGCTATTTTTAGCTTTCCATCTCGCTGCTTGCGCTAGCATCCCAAATCCACTGCAGCCATTTGCCTGTGTACCCCGCGGTGCTGCCCAGCGTGTCCTGCTTACAGTCTGAACTTCACATTAGCATCAGAGGATGAAATCAGAAGCTTGTAAATATGTGTAATATATTTATTAATATTTAGGAAATCTCCATCAATCATGCAATGGGAATTGACTTTCCCATGATGTTTTAAAATGGAAATGAGTCTTATTTATATGTGTGTTGGCTATTATCTTTTTTAGAGTTAACGCTTTCAGCCCCCTAATACAAGTTTGCACTCCATAGGCATTTTAGAGTGAATTACTGCTGAAAAGAATGCGGGACTAGCACAGTGAGCTCCCTTCCATGAATTTTTAAAATCTTTTAATTTTTTTTAGCTTTATTGATATGCCCAAGGTCTGTTTAAATATATCATAGGAGACCCAAGGAGTTAAAAATGCCACTGGCAGCATCGGTCTTGTTGTTGTGTATGTGAACCTGGTTGTGGAGAATTCAAAACCAGCTCCGCCTCATGGCGGTGATGGAGGAAGCCAGCAGGCCTTTGCTGCGGCTCTCAAACCTGACCTTTCAAATGTTCATGGTGACAGTAGTGCTTTGGGGGGTTGTTGGTTTTTTCCCTTTCCCCATTACTTCCTTTATAGAGGGAGGCGTGTTACCTGGCGAAAATAAAATGCCTTTCTGTTATAGCCCTTGTCCGTGTTAATTACTTATGTGGAAGCTGATGTAAAGGTTCTGTCTCTCTTTTTTCCTTTTTCATGCCTTTATAGTTTTGCAAGATCAGTCAGACGTTTCTTTTGGCAAAGAATTGTTAATGAAAATGGTTGAGTAACAGCTGAACACTGGCTGGGCTGCATGAAGGGACAGAAACATGTCAAAGTACTCTTAGAATAGCAATAAAACTGCTTGTGTAACCCCAGCAATGTGATTAGCACGTAGTGATCATTTCCAGCCAACTCCCTCTGTTACCAGCGTGTTGCTACTTCCAACACTGACGGTCTGTAGCTGAGGCGCGCTTGTCCTTGCATGTAGTACAGGCTTTGGGAAATCTCCATCCCTCACCTTTGGGAGAGACACGCTGGCAGGCTTTTGGAAAGGTTTTTGATTAATTGTTTTTAGTTTTTAAACCAGAAGTGGAGCAACAGTTTTATCACAACTATTATGTTGTTCTCTCTTCTCTTTCAAGCTCCCCTTTTTCCCCAAGCAAGTTCAGCATCAGCTTCCACGGTTAGTTACTGGCTGCATGCTTTATAGGTTAAAACTAATTTAGAAGCTCCAACTTTAGACTCCTGATTGCTGCCTTCATCCTTTACCTCATCCAGCAGCTCTGTACGTCTTTTAGGAATGTCTTTCTCATGAGCTCAGTCTCACCTGTGAAACAGTGACAGCACACAGGCATGAGGGAAAGGTGCTGCGACTGTATGCTCTGGTGCTACAGCGTATGGATTATGTTAATGTTACCATAAAATTTTATAGTATTTCCATGTTGATAACTTGGAGCTGCTCTGGTTTATTTCTTCTTCTTTTGTATGTATGTATCTTAAGGCCAATCTGAGAATGTTTATGAATATTGATTCCAGCTATAAAGATCTGTTTTGTTTCTGTCTGATTTTTACTACTGTGTTTCAGATTTTTTGGGTACCTGAAATTACTGCTCACCAAAATTTCCTGGTAGGAAAACAACCAGAGAGGGGCATTAGCTCAGTCTGACATGGTACACAAAGACACAGAACCCGTTTCCTGACATGTAAGTGTAAGTTCATGAGCATTGTCCTCATGGCAGCTCCATTGAGTCCAGCACCGCAATCCCCTCCCGCTGGAAGCGCTGGTGCCAGCTACCGCGTACGAGGGGTGGTGCACCAAGCGGCACCCACACGCTTCGGCAGCCCACGGCCCTCCCTGCTTTCCCTGCTTGACGTTGAAAAATCCCAGAGCTGCTCTTGTTGCTCAGTTTACCTGGCACAAACTGTGAGCCTTCCTGTGCCCCAGGGTCCCCACCTCTAAAAACAGGGACTACAAAGTGGTTACAACTGCTAAAAGAATTTTGAGAGGTGCTGATAAAGAGTGCCCAGTGTCAGAGCTAATAGGATCCTGCACTGCAAGTTTCCATCACCAGCTTCTGGTACTTGAAAGCAATTGGCACCACTTCCAGGGGCACTGAATTCCAGATAGTTGAAACTTTACAAAACTTCGATGAGCAAAGATTGGAGAATGAATTTTACCATGGTAATCTGCACTCAAGGAATGTCATAGGGCATAATCAGGAGATGGAGCTAAATAGTTATCAAATGGACACGGCAAATTTTATGTGGCAGTAGCTTTGCTTGTTTATTTGCACCAAAC